TTAGGACTCTGGTTTATATATTAATACCAATATTAGTTATGTGTTAATGCTTCTTTTTCTCATTGTAGTGGCAACATTTATATTCCTTAATTCACTCGTTATATCTCATTACACTGCGCCTTTCAAGTTTTACCTTAGGGTTCATAGAGTCAATTCACTGCGATTTCCTTCTACTCAAGGAAAAGTTGGGATTCTCCCTCACACAATTTTTGCTCACTCTCTACCTGTCACTAGCAACTCACATAGTTGAGCACGCCCACTTTCCATTTCTTTCACGCATAAATCGTCTTCCATAATTGCCCCTCACTAGGGCTATAAATTCTTATTCACACTGTCGAAGTGTAATACCACTTACCACGAAAAATGAAGTTGAAGGTTTTGATAGATAAGGTTTCTCATTTAGTTTAGGATTTTGAAGTTTCATTAGTGTTGCAAACTTGCAATGATAGATTGGGAAGAGGACGATTTGTAAATGGCGATTTAGATGAGCATGCAGCACTCAATGTCAAAGCTGAAGTAGTGCAACTGAGGGACTCTATTACCAAGAGTTGTTTCAAGGTTACCAGAGGAGTCGATAGAGGTGAAGACTTAGCAATTGTCGTGGGAGCTCATGGTCATGGTCGTTGAGAAGTAGATGACGACGGTGTCAGGGGTAAAGGTGGCAGAGAGGTTGGGAGCAGAGAGATAAAGGAGGAAGAGCGTTTCAATGGGGGGAACTTACTTTGCAAGAAGCAAATGAGTTGTTTGTGATGGGGTAAGGCAATGAGGTCTCAAAGGAGAAAAAGGGAAAAAAAAAGGAAAAAAAATCATAAAATTAACTCATAGATGTTTTATATAATTATTTGCAAAAGCTACACATAGTTAATGAGGGGAAAATATTAATACAAAGAAAGATAATTTTAAAATTTTTTATTAATTTTTATCTAAATTAGTTGAATTTATGCATAAATAGATTAGATGGTTAATAAATAAATTGACTGTATTGATGTACTATTGAGATTTTTTTTTTACATTAATAATCAATTAAAATATATAATAATATAATTTTTAAATTAATTATCACAAAAGTTAATAATTTACGTTATGCGATAGTTTATGATTGAATAATAATATAAAAGTTTTTATATACTGTCAGTCTATTTTAAGTAAACCATTATAATAAATGACAATTAAATATTTTTTACATTTAAATTCAATAGTAGATTACCAATAATTTAAAATTATTGTCTTCTATGACTATTTTTTAAAAATTTATATCTATTTTTTTTAAAATTTATTAACTGTGTAAAGTATATTAAAATTAAGCACATAAATATTTACAAAATAAATCACTTTAATTTTAATACACTGTAAATATTAAAAAAATTTACAACCATAGATAATATTTCAAGATAACTATTATAAAGTTAATAATTTCTAATAATACGATAATTTATAATTTATTAAAACATAAAAAAATACTTACACTACTACAATAATATATTAAATTATATTTTCTTTAATTTATGCATTCGTCTTTATTTTTTATCACATTATTTATCGTATTTAATTCAAAGAGGATATGCATAATGGATTTTGAAGGGCTCAACTACCCCCCCCCCCCCCCCAAATGATTGTAAATCTTAATTTCCTTCCATGATGACATAAAACATACGTATGATGTACGTTGCTAAGATTAATTAATCAACGACAATTCTTTACATAAGTACTGTAATGTTTTTTATATGCTCCTCCTTGCTCTTTTCTTTTCTTTTCTTCTTTTTTTTTTTAAGGAAACACTAATTAACATGCGATTTTGAGTTGAATATGTGATCATCAGCTTATGCTACCAACTACCTTCTCCATTTACAACCACAAATCGATAAGCAACTGGAACAATGGTATATTCAGTGCTATTCATGAGTTGACATTAGAAAATTGGAGTGTCATAAGGTGAATAGGATTATGTTTTAATTAATATTCTGATGATGCGTTGTACCAACTACAAGTTAAATACCAATTCTCATGGAATATTGAATTTTACTGAGCATAACTAATGAATACGCAATACAGGACAATACATTATTTGACAAATCTTTTAAATATATTTTGTAGTATTTGATGATTTTTATGTGAGTTTTACAAAAATAACCATACAAGTGCATCTGATCCTATGAGTCTATGACCCGGTCAAGTAAAAGACATGGTATATTAAGCTAAAGCTCTGATCTCAGGCCAGTATTCTTATTTGTCAATTGTTTGGGGCAAGAAAAATTTTTTAAATTATAAAATCATAACGAAAGAAACAATATTTCAAGGAATTTCAAAAAGGTCAGAGAAGGAATCTCATTCTTTATTGAAAAAGCATGTGCGAACTCAAGAATTGTTTTTTGAAACTACATTTCGAGTTATTTTAAAATTTTTTATCATAACTCTAATTTTTCCCAAAAAACCTGCTCGAAAGATAAGAGAACAGTAGAAATATTCTCCAATTTCACAAGGTTAAAGGCTTTTCCAAGAAGTTTCTGAGGATTTCCTTAGCCCCTGAACTGAGAACAACTAAAACTGATCGAAATAAGAAGATTCTAAGTCCACGAGAACTAAACATCTTTTCGAGGAGTTTCCAAAGCCCCTTACACCCAAAAATGCTCGAAAGTAGGACTGACAAGAAATTATTCTAAGTCTGGAGGGCTTTCAATGAGTTTTTAAGAGGTTTTTCAAGACCTTTACACCCAGAATGTGTCCAAAAACAGCAAGTGATCAGAAAATATTCTAAATCCACAAACCTAACTGAGTCCCAGATCTCCTCCCAAATTACTCGAAAATAGGAGTGAATCCACAAACCTGACTGAATCTCAGATCTCCTTCAGAATTACTCAAAAACAAGAGTGAGCAGAGAAAATATTCTAAGTCTACGAGACCAAGACGAGCTCTCAGATCCTCAGAATTAATCGAAAAGAGAAGTCAAGGAAAAATTATTTTAAGGCCATAATGATAAAAGAGCCTCCTAGATTTCTCTCAGAAATGCTTAAAGTATAGAGAACAAAGTCTTGATAGGATTCAAAAGCTATTGCAAAGCTCAGAAGCAATTGTCAGCAGTTATCAATAGTTACCACCAGGTAAAGGGCCAACTACATGAAGAAAGATCATGGGCGACGACAGTTATGGAAGAAGCCCCAACCAAGAGCATGTTCACAAGTAATTGTAGATAATTGGCAGCAGTGGTTGAAGGTAAGTACGTATAGAAGACAATTACTGAGAAAGTGCCTGCAAAAGAAGAAGAAGTGGTGATCCCCTGCCTATAAATGCTTCAAAATTACATTCTACAAAGGACGACTTTTTACACCCAGACACTACACTAAAATTTTTTAAACGCTGAAATTCTGCACCGCACCAAACACCAGCTACAAGGAGATATATAGGGTACGTTTATTTTTCTTGCACCATTTATGTTTCCACATTTTAGTTTCAGCTCAATTTGCTTATTTTTTTTTCTTCCACAATTTGGTTCTTACTTAGCACATTTATATAAAAATCTCTACCTTTGATTAAATTTTATTTGATTATCATTTGATATTTCTGTTTAATCCTCTACTTTATAACGTCAATTTGACTGTTACGTTAACAACACACTTAAAAGAACTAAAAAAAAACCTAAATTCAGTCCCTAAATTATTCTTAAATTATTTATTTACAAACTATCATTTTTTACTATATACATCGATGCTTCAATCCTCGATGAATGGGCCTATTTATAGAAATGTTGTATTCTTGACGTAACGATAACATCACAAGCAATGTCTACCGGCACCCGGCCTAGAGGATTTAAAACATGGAAGATACTTGCATCAACAGCTCACGAGGATATTATACAAGTAGGTTTTTAATATAATATTTAACTCGAATTTTCAAGACTATTTATCTGTAAATTATATATTATTTAAATCTTTATTTTTATTAAATATAGAACTTTTTCATCGTAATGACATGGCAAAGAGCGATAAAAACACACTGTTAATTAAGAATATAAATTATTTGAGTTACATGCTATTCGAGCTCACGTTATTAAATATTCAGTCAAATTCGTTTATTTAATTAAATTCTTAAGCTCAAGTTAAAGTTAAATTTAATCATTTAAATAAACAAAATTCAAGTTCTGTAAATTTAATATTAATAACTCTTAAAATTTGTAACTTAGATTATTAAATACTCAGTCAAGTTTATTTATTTAAATGATAATAGCTTGTGAGTAACTTATATTGTATATACATACTTAGATAATTATAATTTTATTTATTATATTTACTTGAAATTTATATTTATATTTAGTATTACTACTCTTGTTGTTGTATATATTATTTATCTAGTATTAATTTTTAAAAGTTATATTTTAAATAAGTGACTATTTTTTTAAATATATATATATATATATATCATTTTCATAACTAAAATTACGTTAATCTATTTATATATATATTAAATTATATTTTATTATCATTTTACTTACTTTATTCTTTAGCATAAAAATATTTCTTAAATACTAAATTAATTTATAAAAATTATAAATTAGTTAATAAATCAAAATTAAACTTCAAAATTATTAATTAAGTCAATTTCAAGCTTTAAATCTAGTTTACTTAAATAATAGAGCTAAATTTGAGTATTCTTCTTATTTTTACAAGTTAAGTTTAAATTTTAAATATTTGCTTCGATTTATTTACTCTGTTATTCTTAGTTATTGATTTTTTTAAAATAAAAAAATACAAGAAAAAACATTAAATTAAGAGTAAAAAAAATTAGACTCACACATTTATTAAATTTATTAATTGAAATTAATTAAAAAAATTGAAACTCATTCTACTTTTATAATTTTTAAGTAATGATTAAAAATTATTAAACAGTATATTGATAGATGGCACTAATTCATCCTTAGTAAACAGTAATCTTCTTCCACTGTAATATATATGTAAAACAACGCTTTGCACCTTATTTTAGGTTTTTTTGTTTTCAGATGTGTGTGTATAAACAATGTTTACACCTGGAGAGCACCTAATCCTAAGTTACAAAACAGCTCTATTTCTTGAAAGAGCAGAATATGAGAGCAAATGCCTCTTACTTCTCTCCCGGGGTCTCTCACAAAGAGGAGGAATCTCACAAGGCATGAAATTAAACGACACATGATGCGAACAAGATCTTGGAATCAAAAAGAACGCTGCACACTCCCCCACCGATCTCTGATCAGGAAGACCAAAAATACAGTTTTTCCTCACATCAAGAACCCCACTTTTAATCAACTTCTTGCACAAAGGCCCCACTTTCGTAAAATAATTATACGACAACGATAAATTCGCCAAATTCCCCAATGCACAGACCACTTCCGGAACCTGCCCGTACAAAAAATTATTAGCCAGGTTGAGTTGCTCCACTTTCTTTAAGCACCCAAACGACAATGGTATCGACCCAGTTAAGAGATTGCCACCAGCATCGAACAATGTGACATTTCCTAAGAACCCAATTTCGTATGGAAGACAACCCGTTAAAAGGTTGTTCAATAGTAATACTTCGATCAACGTGGACGAGGCTTTTCCAATGCTACGAGGAATGGGGCCAGTGAATTTGTTGTTCGCCAACGTGAGATAAAAAACCGGGGTGTTGCCTAATATGCTGGGGAGTGTCAAAATGAAATTGTTGTTGTTAAGAAAAAGTACATCTAATTTTTGCATGAAAATTTGTGGGGGCACGGTGCCGGTGAAGAGGTTGTACCGAATGTCCAAAAAGGACAAGGTGGGGATGTTTAGAACCGAAATTGGGAATACCCCAGAGAGCAAGTTGTTACTTAAATCAAGTTCGTATAGAAGCTTGAGTTGCGCTATTTTTGGCGAAATTGTACCCGAGAAATTGTTGGAGTTAGCGTGGAAAAGAGCCAAGTCGGGGAATTGCTCAATGAACCCATCAAGGGTAGGTGCGCTGAGGTGAAATCCATTGAAATCAATGGAAGCAATGGTGGTGGCAGTGAGGTTGTCTGGTGGGTTGTCACAATAGAAGCCTGTGTAGTTACATATGTCTGGACCAACCCATGTTGCTGTTATTCTAAACGGGTCTGAGGTTATTGTGTTTTTGAAGTTTTGAATAATTGGGAAGACTTGGGCGAGTCTTCGGTCTATGAAGTTTAATATGTCAGGGATTAATGAGGATGATGGTGATGGAGTTTCAAGGATTTGGCCATCTACTATGAGAAGGCAAAGAAAGAGGGTGATCATCAACGTTGAAAGTGGAGCTTGCTTAAGTAAAACCATGGTTTCGATTCTGGAGCAATAAGGGAAAGACATGGATGATTTGTTTTGGTTAATGATTTATAGTGGATGATGGTATATTTCTACGGTCGCATAATGAAATGGTTTACGTGTTATCTTTCTTTTCTTGATAGTGGTATGGTGGATTATTAAGAAGGTTACAATAATTGCCCACATTCGGCACTCGTATTAGGAGGTTCAGCCCATCATCAACTCGTGTTTGGGAAATAGGTAAGATAGCATCATGCGCGCACCACCGACTTCAAATGGAGCGCGTGTTGTGCCTTTTAAACTTTGAAAACCACTTAAATTTTTATTTTCTTTTGGGTCAACACAAACCACTTAATTAAATTGAGCATGCGAACCCATATTATGGGTTTTGAACATTGTAAACCACTTTAAAGAGTCAGTGCTTCGAACTTCAAAAGCTTTTCTTTGAATAGATGTATGTAAACAGGGAGGAAAGAGATACTATTGTTTTAGTTGTTTTATTAATTAAAAATGTAGCAAGAAAATAAATGAAAAGTGATATTAATTTATTTTTTTATTTTTTTACGAAACATGAATGATATAGACAGAGGGAGAGAAAATAAGACTAATTTTCTACAATTCAAAAAATAAGAAGGAATGTTAAATTAATAAAATATAATATGATAAAAAAATTAAATTTAAATCAGTTATATTTCAAACTTTTAATGTTATATTAACAAAAATTAAAACTACTTTTGTTGACTTAAACTCTTAAAAATAAAGTTTAAGCATATAAAAATAAAATATTTGTAATGAAAAAAATACATTCATTATTAAATTATAAAAGTATAATAAATATTCTCTTTTTAATAAATATTTATTATTATTAGTGAATTAAGAGTTGATAGTGTTAATAATTTAAAAATAATTTGATCAAAATTAATCATTTTTAATTTTAAAAGATTTAGACAATAAATTTTTCAGCTGTCCATTTTTTACAAATCAATGGCTACGATAACCAATTTATCACTAATTAAACCACTAAGCTTAAATTTTATTTTTTTCCCAATCACAGTTCTTCTCATGTGTGTTCAACTAATTTAATTGATACGGTGAATTCGATAATCTAAACAAAATTTGTTTACTTTATGTGAATAAATTTAAATAATTTTCACTATATTTTAAATTTAAACCAAGTCAATAATAATCAATTTTGTAAATAAAATATTTTCTAAAAATAAGAAGAGTTATTTTCAAAGTTTATTAAAAAAATTTAAATACTTTTAAAATAATATAATCTTTGAAATAAAAAAAATAAGTTTGAGAATTACTTACCTATAGGAGGAAAGATATTAACACTTGTAACGTCTATTTAAATAACGATTACTTTATATTAACTTTACAAATTCATTATAACTTTTAAAAAGTATTTATTTAAGTCTTGTTATTTTTATTTTTAAAAAAAGAAAATTTATTTATTAAAATATTAATTAATATATTAAAAAAGAAAAAATTTATTTTAACTTAACAATTCCCGCATCAACGTATCTAAGGTAAAAGCAGAACGCAAAGCCATTGTAATGCTCCAAAATTTTGTAATATGATTTAATGGTATATAAATATAGATGGATTCATGTTTTGCCACGTGTTGGTGTATTGATTGACTTGATGGTGATATGAATGTACGGATACGCCTTAGTTTGATGGGAATGTGTATGTGAATACAGATATATGTAAATGTATGTATACATATGTGTGATTGAAATTTGGATTGAAAGAAATAAGTTAAGTCTTGGTGTAGGGCATTCTTGCTGTAGCGAGAGGTCCCTGGGAGGAAGCCATGCGATTGTCGCTTTCTCGCTGTAGCGAGAGACGTCTCGCTGTAGCAACAGAGCAACAATTTAGGGTACATTTCTGGGTGTAATCTCGCTGTAGCGAGATTCTGCAGAAACCAGAGTACAAATTTGTCTGAGTTTTTTGCTGTAGCGACAGAGGGCGTCGCTGCAGCGAGAGTGTCGCGACCAGAAGAGTATTTGAAGGGTTAGGGTTCCAGGAGAGGGTTATTTTTCACGATTTCTCTCTCTCTCCTTCACGATTCTCTCTACCCAAACCCATTCCTACCGATTAGAAGCCTTCCAAGGACGTTTGAGAGCTTGATTGAAGGTTGGAAATACATTTGGAGTCTTTGAAGGGACGAAATTTGTGTGGGGAGGCGATTCCATCAACGTTTCGTGGCGGGCCTTCATTTTGAGGTAAGGGGAGGACTTTACTCTAGTTACCTTTGTTTGAAATAATTTTATTTGAATGAATATGGTAATATGATAGAAATAGGAGGTGAGGTTATGTATCTTGGTGGACTGTACAAGTTGGGCTAAGTCCGGAGGTGTCCGACCTCTAGCACATTGTGTGAATTGTGTGATAAGTTGAATGTGGTAGGCATTGTATGAGAAACCCATGTTGTATGTGATAAAAATGAGAATGTGATCAATGTTGAGTAAAATGTGATTGTACATTTGTGTTGGCATGCTATGGGTGAATGACTGAATAACTTGAATGGTTGAAAATGAGTGTGATGGTATGTTTGGATGTGATTGGATGTGGAAACTATGAATGGTTCAGAGATACACTGGGAGTGTGGAAGATGAGGGCGGTAGTAATACCTTGGGGAAGAGAGGGTGGTGGTGATACCAACAGCGAGCGTGGGTGCACCACAGGCCACACACTCTCCTCTTGACTCGGCCTCTGACTAACACTTTTGCCTGCGGGGCTCAATACCGCACATGTTGCATCCGTGGAGCGGAAGCTATTCGGTCGACCATCTATAGTATAACTGAGTAAGTCCCTGAGGTCGATGGCATCAGGAATCTGTGATCACAGTGCCACATGGAGCGTAGCTACGTGCAGTGAGCGCATATTTGTGTAAATGTGTGGATTTGTAATTGGTGCCGTGAGCGCACCTATTGTGATTGAGAATTTGGATGCATGATGGTCGTTGACGTATGCTCCTAATATGATTAGAATTTATGTATAATGAGTCGGGTGAGTCTAATGCTTATCTGTGTGTTTATACTAGTGTAAATGATTCACCCTTACGTTTATTTTTTTTCAGGTAACCAAGACGATCAGCACCGGGACCCTTGAAGGAAGGAAGGATGAAAATGCTTTAGGACTTAGAAATTTATTCTAAAAATCTGATGTATATTTAAGTCCTGTAGCAAGTAATGATGTAAATTGTACTCTAATTTCTCATTTGAAACATTTTATGAAATTGTGCTTAAACAATTATCTGAATGGAAAATTTTTACTACTCTGAACTTTGCAAAAACAGATTCATTCAAAAATTTAAAATTAAGGTGTTATAGCCATAGTTCTATAAAAAAAATATTGATGTTTGTGGATTAAAACTAATTTTAGTAAAAAAAATTATTTTGAGATTAAAATTATTTATAAAATTTTAATATTTATGATATAAGATACGGAAAGCGAAGAGAGATCACACAATTATATTACAAATCGTTAAAAGTAAATGAATAATTTTTTAAAAAAATGTGATTTCTTTATAAACAAAATTTTTGAATTTATACTTGAATTTAAAAGAAAATTTAAAGTAGCATAAGTTATATATAAATCTCTTGTAATATATTGGACAATCATACACCATGTAAATTACAGAGGAATATTGTAAATAATTGTTTAATAAAATAAAAAAATAAAATTAAGTAATTAAATATTTTATTTAATTTAGCAAAGTTCTTAAAAAAAATTAAAAATATGAAATTGATTCTTTGTAATGAAAGTTAAAATTGTTACAAATTAATATTCTAAATTTAAATTAATAAAATAATTTTAATTTACATCGATTGATTAGTAAATAATAATTAGAAGAGGAACACATATTGATTAATTATTAAGATAATTATCTAATTAATTAAAAATAAGATATAATAAATTAATATTGTATAAATCTCATATAAGGTAGGTATACATAAATATTATTAATTTACAATACATGACAATAAAAGAAATTATACGTTAATATTATAAATTAATATTTAAATTTTATTTATTTATCATATTTATTTATAATTTTTTAAATATAATTTATTAATCAAATCAAATTTATATAAAAATAAAATAATGATAAAAATAACAATATCAATGAACAAATAAATAATAATAATAATAAAATATATAAACTTTATCAATTTTATCTTATCATTGTTATTATAAATTTTTTTAAGTAAATATAAAACGAGAATATTTCAATAATTTTTTTATTATCAGATTCTAAAAAAGTAATATATATATATATATATATATATATATATATATATATATAGAGAGAGAGAGAGAGAGAGAGAGAAGATGATAAACAAATGACTAGCTTATAACATGATAACTTAACATATTCAAACCATTATGTACTTGGCGATTATGTAACATAAAGGAAGACAAAAACAAAAAGATAAGACAAAAACTAATATATATGAATAAAAGAGGTGGAACTTGGTAACCTGAGATGCAAACACATCGAGTCATAAGAAATGGTTCGCAACTTTGAATTTTCAGTGCAAATAGTAGATATGCACTGTTTTTAATACAAAACTTCAGAAGAATCACAAATGGTTGTGACTAAGATCCAATACCCCAAATCAACATCTCCTTCCCTTGCTTTTGCATTTGGAGGAGTCTTTAAGAGTTTTTTTTTTTTTTTCTTTTTTTACAATACTGGAAATAAAATTCATATAAATATGCTTCTTCTTTCATGTATAAAAGAATAGTCTTTAGTGCTATCTTTTAATCAAATAATGTTTAACTTCTTCATTAGAAGTCAAATTTATTTTATTTTAAATTTGTAAAGACTAACTTTTTATTTGAAAAAAATAATTTATTTCTATTCTCTCTTTTGTAAAATTAAACTTATAATTTTCTTTTACAAATAAATTATAAATATAAAAAAATTTAGACAAAAAAGGATAAAATAAAAAAATTAAAAAAATGAGTATTCACAATTATTATTTATAATAAAGACTAAAAGTATGTTTGAGTAAAAAATTTAATTATTTATTTAATGTTTTTAATTGCATAAATTTGATTATAATATTTATTGAAATGGGTTAAAAATAAATCTTATATGAATTAAAATATTTTTTCATAACCTCTATATCCAAATTATTCTTAAGAAGATATATTATTTAAAATTAATATCAATATATGAAATTAATTTTATCATTATCTAAAGTCACTGTTAAATAAAAAAAAATCTCTTAACTTCTTATGATATAAAAGTTTAGAAAAAATAAAATATGAAAATAAAATCTTAAAAGTAAATTAACAATATCTTTTTTATCTTAACTCAAAAATTCAAATTTATCTAATTCATTCTTAACCAAATTAATTTAATTCAGTGTAGTTAAAAATTTAAAAAAACTTAAATCTATCCAATCAATTTTATTAAGGTGTTTACTACAATTCTCTTAAATATGAAAAGACATTATATACTATCTTAATTTAGAGAGTTGTTATTTTTTATATTTTAAAAATTAAAAAACATTTATATATTTTTTAAATAAATTACTATTCTCATTATCTTATGATATAAAATTAATAATCATAATTATTCTACGTACAAAAAAATATAATACTCTCTCATTTTACATAGCACCCTAAAATTTTACCTTTTATTAACCTTAGTTTTTGCTTTCATCACTTCAAAGTCACAACTTTTCATTTTCGTAGAATTTCAAATTCAAACAGAGCAAGCGACCTGAACCGTTGTTACCGACTTGTGAAGACCACTCCAAACACAATTTAAGAGCCCAGAAGACAGTAACTTGGGCCACACTACCTGTTTAGCCCTTTTATCATTTTTTATAAGAAAACATTTTTATCTGTATACAGCTATTTAGTATTGCAAAAATGAATTGACAAAAATAAAATATCACAAATATGACTAAAATATTACAAAAATCTAAGCATATTTTTCATATGACGTTAACTTATTCCTCTTTTCTTTATAATTTTCACGTCAAAATTATTTTATTCAAATGTTGTAAATTGAATGTAAGCCATATACCACCTAAGTGACTAAAATTTCTTATTCATGGATGATTTGTCGGTCTAGACATTATTAATTGGTTTATAAGGGAATCTATGTTCTCTCTCTCACGCTATTTTGGCGGGGCCCCGTTGTCATCGTTGAAGAGAAAAAAAAAAGTAATATAAAATATCAGTTTATATTATTGATATATTAAATATTAATATAATGCATCATCTTATTATTAATAGACCTCCATATCTATACCAACATTTCAACTTCTAGTAAATAAAATTATATCAATAAAGGGTAATTTTAATGTTTGTATTGTTTTTTTTTTTGTCAGTTAATGATTTTTTTTAGCGACCGTCTCAGTTGGATTTTTATTTTTTATTTTTTGTTTATGAGCTAGCTATTAGCTACTGTGGCGTTTGTCTTTGCACCAATTATTAGCCACTTGCAAACAAGAACCCACCGTGACTTTCACGGCATAATATTATGAAAGATTCTTGTACACCTAGCAAATTAAAATTATAAAATAAATATTGCATTTACTTACATCCGAATTAATAAACCAAGTTTATATGATCATTCTCATATTTTAGTTAAACTTGACTACAAGTTATATAAACTAAGGTCTAACAAGTAAATGGCTCTGAACAAAACCCTTATCTTCTTCGATAATACACCCATTTTTAATTTGTATTAAAAAAACTTACGATGAAGACATTTCAACCTAAAAAACTGACGATGAGAGAATATAAGTTGAAGTGTACGAAAAGAGAGCGAAAAGAACTAGCTCTCATGCATCATATGCTCGGTCTGAAAGAAAAAGAATCGATTTGAAGGTGAATACAAATATAGGACCAAATTTATTCGACCACTTACTAAAATTACATTTGAGTGGCGCCAAAATAATAATAGTCGAAGATGCCAAATTTCACGAACGTGCTTATTCATGGGCACACAAAATACAGACAACACTGCTATTAACGGGAAAGAAATTAACACACATAATATCATCCAATCCGAAACAGAGTCCGCCATCACATGGACGATTACCCTACGCATCATCCCATCGTAATCACATGATCACAATCTCAAGCGATGCGGTTTGAGAGTCTTGTAAGTTACCGGCTCCGGCGGTGAAGCGGTCGCCTCAGTGCTTGTGCTCTGCCAGTGACCCTTGCAAGGGATGTAATACAAAGAACTCTCATTGGGACAAGGCTTCTTCTCCTTGTAATAAAACTCATAACACTCTTGGTGTGACCTCTGATTTGGGAGCCCCGGGATGCAATTTTTGCTCACATCCAAAACCTTGGACTTGATCAAATTCCAGCACGATGGTCCAATTTCTACAAAATAATTATCCGACAACGACAGGTTCCCGTTGTTGCGCAGGCCTTGGAGCTGACACACAATGTCCGGAACAGCGCCGTAGAATTTATTGTGTGCCAAATTAAGGTACCGAATCTTCTCCAAGCACCCAAAAGAGAGTGGAATTGGGCCCGTTAAGAGATTCTTACTCACATCAAACACCGTGGCCTTTTTTAAGTACCCAATTTCAAAGGGCAAGCACCCGTCGAACTGGTTACCCAAGAAAAGCACTTCGGTGAGGGTTTTGGAAGCATTTCCAATACTCCTCGGAATTGAACCCGTGAGTTTGTTGTTAGCGAAAGTGAGAAAGCGGGCAGGGGTGGAGCCGAAATTTTCTGGTAGACATTGAGTGAACTGATTGTTGTTGATGAAAATCACGTCTAGATCCTTGTTAAACAGTTGCGAGGGAATTGGCCCAGTGAGCCTGTTGAACCTCAGGTCCAGAAACACTAATTGTTTCGACATAAGTACTTCCTTGGGAAACCCACCCGTTATTTGGTTGTTACTGAGGTCCAATTCATAGAAATAAGGGAAATTGGTGATTTGGGATGGGACGGAACCAGAGAATTTGTTGGAGTTTACGTGGAAGAATGTTAATTCCGATATGTTGCCCAAGATGCCCGAGGACACCAGGGGCAAGTCGCAACCGTTTTTTCCGGTTATTTTAGCTGTGTTTAAGTCGATTCCAGAAACTGCTAGCTCCTTCGTTGGGCCTGGATAGGTGTTGCATCGTATCCCGTTGAATTTACACGTGTCGGTGTTTTGGTTCCAGCTTTGGGTGTAACAACCGGGGTCGTCTATGAGGGTTTTGAATTTAAGAAGCACGCGACGTGCTTTTTCTAACCGAGTGGGTGGACGAGGTGGAGGGGGGCATGGGGTGGAAGGTGAAGGAGAGGGAGAAGGAGAACCTCCACCGCCAATTATAATTTCAAGTGCTTCTCTTTTTTCTGCCTCTGTTAGCCCCAATGCTTCGCTTTCGGATTTTGGTAGCTCTTGGGCTGTCACCAAGTGCAAGTAAAGCAAAACAGAGCATAGTAAGAATGAAAAGCGAATGGAGTTGGTTCCCATTTTGGGGTGTGAATGAATGAATGGCTTAATGTGGTATTGTTATATAATGATGCAAAATAATTGGCACGCGATGAGAAAAGTCAAGGGAGCCTGTGAATTTGATGAAAAGGAAGATATTCTGCAGTCTCGTGAGAAGCTGTTAGGCTTTCTTTTTCCCATACGACAATTTGCTCTGCCTCGTCAAGTCGGCATCTTCCCTCTCTCATTTGGTCCCAAATACTACAAACAGAAAATAAAACTTTGGGCCTGGAGCTATTCTTCGTACGGGTTTTCTATCATGTGCTTTCCGGTCTTCACATAAATGGAAAAGTAATTTAAATATATACATTATTGTTTTAAAATTATAAAAATATTTACTAACGCGTTAAAAAAGTTGTTCTTTCTATGATGTGCCATTTTTTTCAATTTCAAGTTAGGTATGTCTGCATATAAACTTGGTATAAATATACATAATTATGATAATTTTACACTTTTTTCCATCTGTTATATTTTATTCTTTTTCATTTTTTACTATCTTATTTATTATATCTTTCTAATTTTTTATGCCTTTTCTAATATAAAATGCACGCACTCTTAAAGAATGTCAAACAAATACTTTTCCTATTTCTTGTTGTTTGAAAAATAATTGTAAAAAATGATACGAAAATATCATTATTCTTCATGAAACGAAGGGTATTGATGATTTTTGTTGTTGAAGAGACTGATGATTGTAAACATGTAAATAATAAGCATGTCCAAATTGGAAAGCTAGATGTCTAACTATACATTTTTTTTCCAAGAACACTTTTTAGTTATGAGTTAAATTTATTAAATATTATAAAAAATAAGACAGATACGTTAAATTAAGAGTGATAAAGAGAGGAATCTAATAGAATTTTTGTACTTCTTCATCAATTTTAAATAATAATTAAAAATGTATTAAAAAATATATTAAATAACATGTCGGTAACAATTTTTCATGTATTAAAGTTGTATAATATGTTTGGTATACTTTAAAGATGGAATATAGCATCACACACAATTTTTGGTATACTAAAGAGTGGAACCAAAAAAATAGACACAACACTAAAAAAAAATCATTTATTAAAAAGTACCCTAAAGTATAGTTTAGTTTTCTCTTTCATTTTCACCTCTTGACTGCACAGTGGTCTCTCTCATCTTTTCCTCCTAGCTACACCACTGTCTCTCTCATCTTCTCCTATGTGGACACGCACCTCTCTGTTTTTGATAAGCTTATTTTTATACTAATTAATAATGTCAATTCGCGCACTGCCTCAAGTGCCAAATTAATCATTAAACAAGAGTAACTAGCTAGTGTTGACAAATAAAAAATAATAAAGAAGAGTCAATTACAGATACAATCCAACGTCAGTGGCTATTGTTTTGTTCTATCGTTACCAAATTTAACAGTGTACAATACATTATCATCATCCTGTGCTTTCTCTTGTTCTATTTCGCTAATTCTATTTCATTTTATTCTTTTCCGTTGTCAAACGCTAGCCACAATTAAACATGCAGGGTTGTGAGTTTTGTGACTATTTTTAATTTTTGGACAATAAAGGTCGATGGTTTTATGGGGCATAGTCACATGCCTAATAAATACATTTGTGCATCAATTCTACCATTCGTTTAGTATTAATGGAAATACAATCCTATCTTTAGGCTTGAGAACTCCCTTCCTTTCTCCCACTTTCATTCCATTTTGATTCCTAAGAATGCTCCAATATTGTCCTTCAATCACATGTAGCTTTTAATGTGGATACAAGCTTACAAAATCAACATAGCCTACCACACTTTTAGATGCTTGACATTATCATATACCTACCTAATATTGTAAGACTGTAAAGATATATTTGGAAGAGAGTTTTTAGAGGGAAAGAGAGGGGAGAGCTTATTTTTTAAAATTAATAATTTTTAAAAATAAAAGATATAAATTAATATAATAAAAAAAACTTAATGTATTAATAATATATTTTTCATCCTAAATAATATATAATTCTTTTAATATAAAATTAAAAAATAAGTCCTCCCTTCCCTTCTCCTCTAAAAACTCTCTTCCAAACATATCTTAAAAGACAAAATCCACCACACCCTAAAAGATAAAGTTCACCACACTCTCATATTATTTGTTAGGAAATTACTTTACAAAAAGTTACATAATTAGCAAACTCATAACATGGAGCAAGGAACACACACAAAGCTATGCCAAGTTCTTTAATAAAGAACTTGGTGAAATACAAGAACTCACGTTAAATCTAATTTATCACATGACTTTTATTTTAGATTCTATGATGTAAAATCCAATGCTCTCAACTTTCTAACTGATATGCTCTTTCGGTAGCCCTACGACCTTCTTTTAAAGCTTAATTTTTATTGTTCCTTTCTTCATTATTAAAGGTCAAAATTGAATTTAAGCTTTACAACTCCCAAGTTATTCAAGTAAGAAACTTACGTAGAAATAAAATTAAATTAGATCTAATTATATGAATTTAGAACACTAATTATAAAATTACTTACTTGTTGTAGATATTGTGAATTATAATAGTTGTAATGAGAAACTAACTTTAGATAATGAGAAGTCAAGTCTTCCTTATGTGTGATCACATTCTTCTAATATTAAGTTCTTAATAAGACAAACTTAGAGAGTAATGAAATATATTTATGTGATGGCAAAAAGACTTACCCACGTTATTTATTAACTCAAGAGACCTCTCATCATGGGCCTAGAGATCCGACCTACACTATTTGTTAGATTTGAATCTAACAATTCATCCTTACTTGGCCAAACACATAATTTACAAGAATTGTTCAAAGGCCTCACACAAGAAACCAAACCTTATTAAAAATGCACGAATGATCATTCCCTATTACAACATTTTATTAGTAACCTTCAAACCAAACTAATGATTGATCTCGCTAAAGACTAAGCTTATTTTCTAACGGTCAGCTACTTTTTTAATTTGTATTTGCCAATTATATCTTACTATTTCTATTCTGCTCCCCACTTTTATTCTTTCATTTTTACTTATTACACTATTTCTCACATACATAAGTATTAAGTACCCAAAATCTATAGGTAATTGATCACATTATTATTGAACTTAAATATCTTCAAATAGATCATAATTATTAGCCCGTTTTTGACAAAACTAAAAATCACATTTAATTATAACCTATTATAAATTATAAAAAAAAAACTCTAATTTTCTCTCACTTAAGCAAAATCAATTATTTAGTTCATAACTTTTGAAAATTTGAAAAATAACTCATGTGCTAATAACATGTTGTGGTCATAAACATATAATCTCAAGATACAACATTTAATTAAGACTTTGTCCAATGAAATCATGTAATATTGAATCATGGTAGCAACTGCATCTTTTATTGATGCAACTCCTTCCATAGTTACAAATGTCATTGACTTTGTCAACTAGTCATCAATAGAGAGTGTAACGAGAAAATAATATGTCAATATGATCAAGCATTCATACTATATTTTTCCATATCAATCTTTATTTTTTCTCAAATACTTAAAAGTCAAAGAAATTATATAGTTCATTATGAAATATCATGTCTTAACTCCAAATGACATTAATTACTGACATAGTGGTTCCAACGACGCTGAGCATACTCACACAATGCCTATGTTTTTAACATGACTTTTGAAAATAATAGGCCTAAGTCCCTAGGTCAAGGAGTCAGCTAACATGAAATATGTGTCAGTATGCTCTACCATTATAGAACCATTTTTCGCAAAAAAAATCTTGTTATTCTTTGTATAAAACACAACACCGCTGTTGTCACATAAAATCCTTAGTAACCTAGCAATAGAGTCCATAATACTAAGTCTTGTCACTAGATTATTTAACTAAATAGCTTGAATAGCATTAACATAACAAGCAATGAACTCTATTTACATAATAAAAGAGGCAATAAAAGTTTGTTTCTTACTCTTCCAAGATATTGCACCTCCAATTATCATAAAGACATATCTTAAAGTCAATATTTTGTCATTAAGGCATCTGCTAAGATTTGAATATATGCATCTTACAATCTCTAAATTATCAACTCCTCTATACACAAGTATATATTATTTGGTCTTCTGTAAGTACCTCATTATTTTTTTAGTAATTATCCAACAATCATTCATAAGATTTGATTGTTATCTACCTAAAATGTCAACTATAAAGGTGATATCAAGTCTAGTGCATACTTAATACATAAAGCTTCCTAATGCATTCGTAAAAGATCTATGATTCATTTTTACTTTCTTAATATGTTAATATTAATATTATTGATTTTTTTTCCTTAATAATATGATAAACTGATGGAACACTATAATTTTTTATATTGTTTAATAAATATTTAAATAAAGTTTTCACTTTTAAAGAACGATATTTTTTATTCTCAAATGATGCTATTTTAAAAAATTATATTAAAAAATGATATTTTTAAAGGTTATTATTTTTTCTTGTTACATCACATAACTTCTCTTATGCTAAATATTTAATTTAACTTTAATATTGGTTTCATACAATTTAATTTTTAATTTAAAAATTTTAAATTTTTTAATTTAATCACTTTTGCAATTAAGATCACAACATGAGAGAAAATAAAAATAAAAAATTGAATATAAGAAAGAGAAAAATAAATATTATAAAAGTTGTTAGTATAAACTTTTTAAAGAACTTAAAAAATAATATGTTTAACTGGAGTTAAGTTTTAAAATTAAACGTGAAGAATGTATTAGAACTTTATGAGGTTCTTAAATTTGATTATTTTAAATTGTATAAAAATTAAAATTTTATTTTATTTTTAAATTTTAAATTTTATTTATTAAAAAATAAAAGTAAAATTTAAAATAATTGGATCTGATTCTCACTTTTATGTATTTTTTAGTGTAATAGAATAATTAGGACTACCTAATTTTTAAAAAGTATTTGCTTGATAAATTGAAAATAAAAATGGTATTAAAAGGTATGATAAAGAAATTGAAAATGAAGTTAAACCCTTTTAACATGTTATAATAAAAAGCACTTTTGTTTTTATATATATTTTTTTAAAATAGGATGAAAATATTATTTTACAAAAATATAATATTAGAATAATAGGATAATTTATTCATTAGTGTGGTTAAATGAATTTAAAAAAATCATTTTGATTTGAAAATAATACTGAGGAATCTATTTCT